TACCAGAAAAGTAAGTAAGTAGTGTCTGTCTTTTTATAGCTGGGGAGCTGAGGAGCCTGATATATTTGAGACATATGTTTTAATTAGAATGGCGCAAGCACTACATGATAGCAAGCCTGTCACAGCTTGGCTGCTCCAGAAAAAAATACACAAGTTTCAGAAAACTGTGATTGCCTAACTGGTGGAGAGCATACCTTCTCCTAGAGAAGAGGCAAAAGAAGAAATTGGAACCTATAATTTGTTTTGTTTCCTTGCATCCCTTGCTGCCTGTTTTGCATGATTTTACATACCCGTCCTCTGCACCCAAATATATTTGTGAGAAGGGAGAGGAGAAATCTGATCCCAAATATCATAACCCTTTGTCAGAAACAGCTCAACAACCAGGTAACTCGTGGGTTTCACTGGGAGGGTTTGATCATTCTGAGCTTCTTAACGCAGACTCCAAGGAATCGTGTGAAGCTATTTAAGGACCCATTGTCATAGTCATCTTTAAGATTATACATCTCCATGTTCAGTGTGCTGGGTTAGACTCAGATGACCAGAAATGCTTTCTGGGAAAAGCAGGAACAATAAACCTTCAGGTAGAAGCCACTGAAAATTACTCAAGTAATATGATTTTTATGGTACATTAAGTATTTCCACCAGAAATGGAACAAAAAAGAAGTATAATGGGATAGGGGAGTCTTATCTCCGTGCTCCTAATGGCAGTAAAAGGGTCCTATTCTATGCTGAGGTTGCAGTACAGGATTTGTTCCCTTTGTGAAGATGCGGCTTTCAGGCTAACCTTGTGATTTACCTCTCTGGTTTGAACTCTCCAGCTGACTTCTTACCCAATACTGAATATATCTAACTCTCCCAGGTAACACCAGGAAAATTTTTAAGGAAGAAACTTGATGCTCTTGCCCTGTTGAATAAAGGGCTGTATTAACACATAAGGGTTCAAAGAAAAATCTAAGAGGGATTATCAGAAACAGGCTGTAGAGCTCACTCTAGGACACACCCAACAACATTGAAACACTCAGCCATCACCCCAAGCGTGAAGCTAAAGACCGGGGCACTGGAAAAGCAGATACCAATCTTGTTCTACATTTTTAGAGTACAGGAATGATCAGGTTATAGATTAAAAATGGAGGCAGTGCTTTCTTCCTCTCAATGTGGACAGTTTTTGAGGACAATGGGAGAGGAGCCTGGACCTTAGGTACATTTATTCAGTTCTTACAATATGCTACCTGCTGAACAGGACTACAAGAAAAATAACATAGGCCATACTCATATTGAAAAGTTCATTGTTATACTTTAATTATCTCCTGACTATTTTATTCATGTTATTAATACTATTAACCAGCCTTTTGGTCTGATTATATTAGGGCTGACCTGGTTGCTCTGTGACATGCACAGTACAGTCTTACCACCACGCTAAATAGAGACAAACACGACTTGATAACCTACAATATTATGAAATCTTTTCCTAAGCAGGAATTTTAAAATGTGTCTCTGGCAGTGTAATATTTATATCACCACATTTTGTTAAGCATACACAATAACATGCAAGTACTCAATTCAAACAAAAGCATAATCCTTGCAGAAGATCCTACATTCTATGCTTTTTTAATTCTGTTCCTTAAGGCTATTTCTTGGTAACACAGTACACCTCCAGTGACAAACCGTGGCTTAAGCCGCTTGGGTCAGTGCTTTTAAACCAGTGAAGATATGCAACAATCTTCTCTGTGTTCTGTTACACAGACCTCAGTTCTGTTAAGAAACTAAATTTATTACAAAGGACCTGGGTGGAGCAGTCATTCTTGCCAGCAACACCACTATTCTCCAGCCAGAGCATGTTGCCTGTTCCACTGTAGTTACCCAGACGGATGGACACTCACAAGCAAATTCTGTGGTGCAGTCACAAGTTTTGCTTCTCTTTGAATAATATTCCCTCCTTAAATTGAACCTTGAAGCCCCAAAAGCAAAGTTTACAATGTTAGGAACAGTTAAAAATGTTGCCTTTTCATTACAGAAAATAGGGGTAAGCAGGGTAGGGTAGCCAGAGCACTGGGAAAAGCTATCTTTCCCAAATTAGAAGAAGATCTATCTTTCCCAAATTAAGAAAACATCTGCAAGTAACCAGTATTATGGAGTAGTAGTTAATTCCCTACAAATCAAAATGAAATTGTGAGAAGACAGGGCTTCCTTTTCAGACTCAGAGAAGGACTTGCATGCCAAAAAGTGTATTTCTTTCCTGCTGATGCCTTCAAGCTTTCCTTCAGTTTCATTCTGAGACTTCCATGGTTAGATTACTACTAGCACTGGCTTATGAACAGACTGAATCTCACAATCATTTGTGACCTAGTGCAATGACACATCCAACTTCTAGAACTGGAAAAGACTGAAGAAATTATGGCTCTGTTTCCAGTTTAATGATATTTTTCCTGTACAATGCCCACTTCAATTTTTAAAAAAGCATCAATGAAGTAGTATTGTTATTGCAGCATTTGCTAAAAAAATGCATCACAGTGTAGGTGACGATTATTTTCAAGCATAAGGCAAACTTGTGTATTATTATGGTATAATTCCTAACACTACATTCAACACATATGATCTCTTCTTTCCTAACCAGTACGTTTATGCAGAGGGTTAACATTTTTTTCCTGGAATTTGTATCTAAAACAATTGCATAGTAATCCATCTACCTATGAACACCTTGATAAGAATTAAAGAAAGGCTCTAAAATGTTTATTCAGGATGATAAAGTCTGGCATGGAAACTCCTGTATTTGGTAGTAACTGCAAAGCATTTACAGTACTCACATAATGAATTATCTTGTCACCATGTGGAGCACTGGAGTTGTATAGAGAATGACTTTGCAGTGGTTGACAATATCTAAGTATATCAGAGAGTTAAAACAACAGTTGCCTGAGGGCTTCTTTATGTTCAGGGAAAACCTGAGTCAATAAGGCTATCTTCTCCTGAAAGTCTGTGCCCAATTCATTAAAAATAACTTCCCAATCAAAATTTTCAGTGACAAATTCCCCAAATTGCAAAAAGGTGGCTTCACTCAAAAATATCTTTAAATGTCCTATGAAATTCTGCTCCCCTCAGAATTCCTGCATGAGAGAGAATTCCACAGCTACAAACCTCAGCACCTCAGAACTGGGGATGTACACTTAAATGCTGGAAGTTGTTCTTTCTCACAATAGGAAGGATAAGTGAAATCTCTGCTTCCTGTTCCCCGGCTTATAGGAACAAAACTCCAGCTGACTGCTGGGAAAATTTCAGAGATCAGTTATTCCTCCTGTAATGTTAACTGCAGGTGTTAGCCAAGAGAACTTTCTCCTGGATGTGCTGATAACACTTTAGCCTGTAGGACTTCTCAGAGCATCACCTTCTCAAACAGCACTTTGATCCTTTCATAGCCCAAGCGAGTCAGTAACACAGTTTGTTGCAGCAGGACTGCTTCCAATTATGAGCCATCAAGAGACACTAAATAGGGTGAGTAGTATCAGCCTTCTCGATATTGTCACAACCTTCATTAGCTTTACGGCTACCAGGAAGCACTGATCTTCAGAATGCAAAAGATGATAGTTGATGAGGTCAAGTCAGGGTTAAAAGCTAGTTATTACTGATAAAGGGCCTATGTCAGCTTTTTCTTTCTCTGTCAACATTTTTCGTCAATAATAGCACAAGGAAAGTACTTATTTCTGTACTAATGTACGTGTTTTTGTTGTTTGGTTGGGTTTTTTTACTTTCATGAGCTGAGAACTAAAGTGAAGAAGGTTCTCTTGAGCAAGGGGCTGGGCCAAGTGGTCTCTAGAAAACCCTTCCAACATAACATTTTTCTACAACTCTGTGACAGGGATTCTTTCTGTCCTGCCCATCTCTCCTGCTAACTCATGAAGCTATGTAAAGTGACTGTATAGGGTGTGGGCATTGGCCTGGACACCACCTATCTTAGAGACAAACACTAACCTCATAGGTGCATTTCAAGGTATTTTCATTCAACACCCTTCATTTTTTGGTGATCAACACAGAACTAGCCAACCTGGGAAAGAAAGCAAAGCTATTGCACAAAGCTAAGTGGGCAAGACACACACATTCCACAGCAGCTGTATTTCCCTTCCTTATAAAGCCTAGAATGTAGCTTTGAATTTGCTGGACAGAGTAACTTTTTTAGACAAGAATGAAACATCGAGGTTACAGGAGGTATGTCTATGAAAGTACCACTTCACTGCCCTGTCAAAAAAAAAAAAAATATGCAAATCAAATCCCAAAAATCATTTCATACAATCCTTTATTCACTATATTTTTATAAAAGAGATCGATTTTATTTAAAAAAAAACAACAAAACACAAAACAAAAAAAAAAGATGCTTTTGTGTGAGAAAACACAGTTTTCTAATTTTCTGCAGCCTTTCTGAAGCCCTGATGCCACTGACACAGGAAAGGGATACAAACCATTCTGTCGGTGAAAGAGGTAGATAAGGTTACAAAAGGGAGCTTGTCTATGCGTGGCACAGCACTCTACTTCTGGTGGAGACTGTCACATTACCACAGTGATTTCACCCCTACCACACCTCAGTTTATGCAAGCTTGAGAGTTGCATAAGACTTTGACCTGTGCAACCAATGTCTTTTTTCAGTGTACCTCTCTATGGGTATCCTGCAGACCAGAAGGAGAGGCACAGAGATCTGGTGCAGCCTGTCAACGATACATGCAAATCACTGCAAACATAAAATAGAACAAAGACTTTCTAATGCCCCAAGTGTATCTCATCACTTAAATGTGTTTCATCTCCAAGTACAGAGTGCTAGAAACTGTGACCACATTTACGCTTGAGAATTTTGGTTGTCTATTGACAAATGTTGCAACCTTCTATACAGATGGGTGTCTGGTTTTTCAGATATATTTCAGAATGACAATTCAGCTTTTGCTTGCATAACTGTAGATCCACAGAGGTATATTTTTATCTTTAGTTCTTGTCATGGGTAGGAAAGTTGCTATTATTGCTTTACATTATCTTTCTTTCCTTGAAACAGGATAACGTGGATCTTGGTGACCTGATGTTTTCACTCTGCTACCTTCCAACTGCTGGTAGATTAACTATTACAATAATAAAGGCAAGAAATTTAAAAGCAATGGATATCACAGGAGCATCAGGTAAGAATGAATTTAATGGTCAATGTGGGTTTCTGTCCTGTTTCCCTCCTGAGACACAGAATCAGCACTGTCAAATCCCAGAATGATTTTTGAGAAGAGGGTTCTACACTACGAGCTCTTGAATTACTGGAGCACAGGAATTTCAGAGAAATAAATAATATATTTCAGTTTGCTCCATTGCAACCAACAGTTTAAAATAACATGCTTATAACAAGGTTTCAAGATTATTACTTCTGAAGTCATTGTGATTCAGAATAGCACAAGTTAACCAAACTGTGTTCATAACACTGGGAAACTGTACAGCAAACTATTTGTTACGGCTATGGCACAGAGGCAGACTGACCCTCTCTTAACAGTCTCCCAGAGCCACGGGTTCAATGCTGCTGTTGGTGGTGTGTGGAGAAAACGGGATAATCCCAGGTTCCTTTCAGCAGCCCTTTCAAAACTTGATGATGAAACCAAGAAACTAATTTAAATAAGAGTTCATAGATGACGTTTAACTACTAGCAGGGAGTTGTAGAGCTCCCAGAAAGGAGCTACAAAGAAATACCTTCTTTTTGCTACACTCAGGGGTTTAAACTTACTTATCATTCTCTTGAGAAATATAAGCCACTAATTGTTACACTCTTAATTATTTTACCCATACATTAGTAAATCCCACTGTGAAAGATATTGCCATCTTCTGTTTGTCTTACAAATCTGCACAATTAGGCTGTTATAAATAGGCTGATACACAGGCTGTTGTATAAAACAGTCATGTATAACACGGTTCAGTGGACATTTTAATACCCTTTGAGAAGTTGGTACACAACAAGGAGCTTTTTGAACCTAAATTTTTCGTTATAACCAGTCAATCAGGTAAAGCTTTCAAAGCTCTACTGCCTCCCAGGAATCCCATGGTAACAAGGAAGCTCAAATTCCGGTCAGGTCCAGGTGATTAATTCTGCAAGCAGGTATGGGCATACAAGAAGGCTGTTCCCTTGACTTTCTATTTATGTTTGCTTAAAAACAGCAAAAGAAAACCAACTTTGTTCTTATGATTCACACAGATCCCTACGTGAAAGTTTCTTTAATGTGTGAAGGAAGGCGACTAAAGAAAAGAAAAACTTCCACCAAGAGGAATACCCTTAATCCCGTTTACAATGAAGCCATAGTTTTTGACGTCCCTCCAGAAAACATTGATCAAATTAACTTGTCGATAGCTGTTATGGATTACGACCGGTGAGATACCTGTAGCTGTAAAATAACATCATCTATTGACTTACAAGACCTTGCATAGTAGTTTTGCATCCAAAACCAAAGCTGCTTTTTTTTTTTTTCCAAAAAATGGTAAATTAATGTCATGTTGAGTTTGGTAGAAGAGCAGAATTTCTTGTAACACCAGGCAGAATTTCCTTCATATATTTTAAAATACAAATTTGCATCCATAACTGACATAACTAAGCTGCATATATACCTACCTGACATAACTGAACATATCATACAGTCGACACGCTGATGTTCTGTTTTTCCACATTTCTCCATTTCTAAAATTGTGGTTTATAGCTTATTTGTATTTGCAACTAATTACAGAACACAGGCAATTAACTTTTTATGTCTTCAGGCAAAATTAAAAAACAAATGCACACAGACACACAGTGTATGCTATAATGGGGAAAATACTAAATTGCTGTGATTAGTGAGAAATGCAAAGAGCAAACCTAGGTACTTTATAGTTCCTTATATTTTTCAGGCAATAATTAATTCTAAAAATCCATAATTATGTTTTTAATGAAATAAGTAAATGAAATGGTTCTAAAGGTAAAATTTTAAGAAAAAAATATTATGGAACATTTTCACAGTGTAGGTCACAATGAGGTCATTGGAGTATGTCAAGTAGGCAACGATGCAGAAAGTCTAGGCCGTGACCACTGGAACGAAATGCTGTCATATCCTCGGAAACCCATTGCTCACTGGCATCCCCTTGCAGAGGTAAGATTTTTATTTCTTGCTTCCCCATTACTATAATTGTGAACATTCTTCCATATGGCATTAGAAGTTGGATAAAATTTTATGAACACAACCAAGATCCACATGCATGCACTAAAACATAAAAAAGGGCTCAGAAACACTGATATTAAAAGTCAGACATAACACACAAGTTAAGTCTGCTCCTTTCAATTTCAGGGAGACAGTAATAAATGTATTTAACATATATACATGGGAAAATGAGCATTATACACTGATTAAGGGTTTGGCTTTTTAAATAAGACCTTGGGTAGCTTTCACTGCTAATTGATGTAAAGAAATGGACCTTGTTTACAGAACAACCAAGACCTATTTTTTTATATATAACAACCTAATATGACTTCTTCTCTCGTAACAATATATCATCCATGCCACTAGCACATCTCAAGGGATGCCTAACTGCACTGAAAAAAAATGTTTAAGTGTCTCTGGAGATCTGAGGTGCTGATAAGAAGCGAGACAATCAGAAAAGCTTTTTAAGGTTCCTATGTTTTTTTTTTTGTTTTGTTTTGTTTTGTTTTTTGTCTTTAGGGCCCTATTCAGCAGAAATGTTATGCAGGTCTTCTGCGCTTGGATGGCTGCCGAAGAGGCTTCCTCACCCTTTTAACCTATTCAGCAGAAATTTGGCATTCCTGTTGAACTCTTTCTTAGCCATATCCTCAGGGGCTATTCCACAGAGTCCAGTGGGGTAAAGATGTCCTTTTAATCCCTCTGTCTAATCCTCTCCCCAATACAGGGAATACTAATCCTGACTCATGATACACACAAATTCGTCAAAGATCTAGCTAAATTGCTTCCTAACAGTTACCATCACTTACTTGTATCGTTGCTATCACTGGCTAAAGTCAGTTAGTAATCCCAGTCAAAAGAAACTACTATGTTTTAGCTACAATGTTACACCCAATGCAGAAAGACAGGAAAGACCATAGTATTCATATCAGGCCACAAATGATGCCATAAACACGTAATATACAGACGCAGAGAGTTTGCAGCCTCTCTGAGTATACTTTACGCATCAGAGTGCGGCCATGTCACTAGAATACAACTGAGGACTTCACCTACTTGTCTGTAAGCACTAACACTAGGTAGCTGCTGGGCAGCTTGGGCAATAGGAAGATGCTAAAAAATAGCAAAAAATAAGATCAGTCTTGCCCTGTGTCCATAAGCAATTACATTTACTGGTGCCTGGGATGACAGCAGCACAGATTCACCGGTGAGAACTTTTGAGTGCTCACAGGCTCTGTTGCATTGGGAATGCACCATGCCTCTTCAGTACAAGGGTGCTGACAACAATTAAATATGATATAAAAGAAGATCGAGCAAAGTGGGGGAGATCTGCCTATATGATTGTGCCCTCAGTGACAAGCTAACTATGAGCTGAAGTGCCACATTGGAAAAGCCTACCTGGGCATTTGGGAGCTGGGTTTAGAAAACTCATCACCAAGTTCTCAGTTGTAGCCAAGCATTGACAGGAATGGCTTGACATACACATGAGGAGTAGCGTAATTGTTACCATTTCCCAGAATACAAGAAGTGTCTCTTAGCAGAAGTTATCTACATCCTTACATCCAACCTGTCTTCCCTCTTTGATAAATTTTATTGCAGCCAGAGCCCACAATTAGGTTTTGACAGCTCTTCCCTTTTTACAGGCATCCTGTTCTTTTCATACATGCCTGGCTAACTTCTTTAGATTGCATTACTGTGGATTGTTTTTCATGTCACTGAGCTAAACAGAGACATATTTTTTTCCTTCCCAGGAATCAAGTGGGGGAGGGTGTCCAGCGCATCCAGGCTGTGCAGAGAAATATATACACAGCATATCATTTTGGTTCCTGAATCAGGATTAGACTCAGCGAGAGCTTCTGGAATCTCTGTGGCCACAGCCATAGGACCCTGAATATTTGCTGAATAGGACCCTCAGTCTTCTACTGTGCGAAGAGCTATTGGTTTCAAGTAGCATAATGTTATCCATTTATAGCATTAATTCTCCAGCTGACGATACTGCTACTGAATAGATTATTTGTGTGGTCGTAAGCATTACCCAAATTCAAGTCATAATTTCTCTTCATTAGAATAACCCAGGTTTTACAAGCAGCATGATAGCAATGAAAACCAACAAATATGAGAAGCAGAAATAAATATGGTTCTTGGATTTGCAAAAAAAACTAAGAGTGCAGTATTGTGAATGGATAGCTTTCTAAATATTTTTTCAAGAATTACTGATATTTATTTTTTTATGACAAGTTGTGCTCTCAGTCGGTGCCTCCTTTCACCTTATAGGAAAGCTATACATTAATATGATTCTTTGCAGAAATCCTTCAAATCTGAAAAACTGAAAAAAGTTCTGTTGAGTGAGAACAAGATACATATGGTATTTGCAATGACAGTATGTTCTTTTAGAAAGGAGGTAACCATCTGTATAGCAAGGAAGCTGTTAGTCCTCAACCTTTGTAGGTGATTTTCCAGTCAATGTTTCTTAATTGTGTCCATGACTCTGCAAAAAGTTGGAAACATATTGCAGGCAGCTATGCTCTGTTATACCAACAAGCACACACGTGCGTGCGTGTGCACACACACACTGTCATTTTAAAATGCTGTTCCAAATATATAGTGCCTGGGAAGACTTTCTCTATTATTTGTAGTACTATTAACAGAGCTGTTTTACATGATGGTATATAGTAAATGCCAACAAATCCTGACCATTAAAAAAAATAATCCAAGCACTGAACTCTTTCACATGATGAAATCTGTGTCCTGGAACAAGAGCCCCTGGGATAAATTTTTGCCACTTACTTAGCCATGTGTGGAGTTCTCTCTTCCTTCAAATTTTTGTAGAGAGAACTTGATTGAAGTTTTTACATGGGAAATTTTATTTTAAAAATGCAGACTCAAGGTGTGAGCATTTTACACAATCTCAGCGTAGTTGCCTGCTACGCACTTAGCAGGTAGGGAGCCCTGATCTCTATGTGGTTTGGGTAAGTTGATGTGTACACCCATTGCTTCATGTCTTGTATGAGTTGAATGGTCACCAAGCATTTTGGATTTACAATTTTCCCAACAAAAACACGCATGCACAGATTGAGTAAAATATTTGAAGTTTTGATCCAAATGCTGAAAAATTAGTTTTATAACCTGTTGATGAGGATCTTCAAGAAAATCAGAGTCTCTGTTCAGTGAGCATTTGTAGTAGCATCCAGCAAACCACAAAGGCTTAGAGATGAGGAAGAAAATCTATTTTTTTATTAAATTCTCCTAATTCTTGCTGACTCATGACTTGCAAATTGTCACTCAGGCTGTGGCATTACCACATACTTTTTAAAAACATCTGCCTTTTCATTGCAGTTCATATATGAACAGTAGCTATTTTCTATATTTGGGTACTTTACTCTTCACCTTTATACTCCACTTAACCAAGGCTATTCCCTAGACCCAAAATATTTTCATAATATGGTTCTGGTGGGACAGTAGACTGCTACTCTCTTTGGACTGCAGCAAACTGAAAGAACAGAGGATATGCTTCTACAAAATCACCTGGAAAGCCAGAGAAAACTATGATCCCAATACTCTTCATTCTTTCTTTCCTGATCTATGAATCTCAGAGGTAAATTAATAGAAGTCTCACAAGAATAATTTCTAAGTTGCAATCTTCATTTATTTTCTTATTTTCTGTAAATACATAATTATGCTGTATGACAAGTATCATAATTCTAACACAGAAAAGAAAATCCCTTAGAAATGCATCTCAAAGGTTTTAATCTCACTTCACTCATTAACAACACGCTATTAAACTGTTACTTTTAGTTTTCCATAAGAAACCACCATGTCAGACGAAATGAATTTTTCTTAAATGAAAAAACAGCTACACTGATGCAGATTATAATAGGGAATTGTGTGATACTCCCATGCCAAAATACTCACAGCACAACCCTTCTGCAGTTGAGTAGTCAAATATTTCTTTATCTGTTTCCGCTGCAATCACAAGACATTAAAAGCATTTCTGTTCTCTTTTGTTTAATTTTTCTCTGTAAATAATAATGGCAGTGGACAAACACACATGCATCTCAACATGGGGAAGCAGGGGACTACCAGAACAGAAAGCAAATATGTAGCATAAAAACCCCAGTGCTCAAACTGTTCCTACCAATCAATGCAGACCAGCTTTATAAGCCAGTGGATCCACAAAGCACCAAAGCAGTACATGGAAGAACCTTGTTATATAGAGGTCTACTTTAACTACCAGTAGAGGAACTGCTGGTTCAATCCAAAGTGAGACAACAGTAAAAGGCAATGCAAAGGAATGAAAACTGAGGTCCACCCCTCTTGGCTTGAGGGGATAGATGTTGGGGAGGGGGGTGTTGGTTGGTTTGGTTCTTTTCTTTTTGTTTGTTTTGGTTTCACTCATACGTTTTTAAACACCAAACATGATATGTAGCTATATGCACATGAGCGCTGAAAGTCAGATGTACAAGAGAGATATTTACATGTTTGTCACTCGGCAACATTGGAGCACCGAAGGGAGCTATTTGCCATTAAAAAAAAAAATAGCTGCAAACTCTCTTATTGCTTTAAATGTAACAAACAGTAAACAGGAAGGGAGAAAGAAGAGTAGAAATGCAGGTGAAAAATGTTTCACAAAGTTAGGAATATCTGAAATCACTTTACTGTTAATGCATTTTGTTTGAACAGGAAAGTGAAAAAATCATGGACTAGGCGACTTGATCTGAAATGTAATCAAATTAAATGCTTTCTTCACTTTAGAACAGTGCATTGTCAAATGATTGCATCTCAGTATCAAGTGAAAAAGCAATTACTTTCATATCTAGAAGGGAAAAAGCATGTAGAGAAAGTAATCCACAGTCCTGCAGAATTTAATAGAAACCCTCTGTGTTGGGAAAAATGGTAGTAGGACAGACTTCGTAACAGCATCATCTTGCTGTAATTGGTGCAAGGCCTTGCTTGCAACCCTAATTCTGTTCCGAAGCGGTAGCCTTACAGTATGTGAACTGAGCCGTGCAAGGTACGAATTATCTTCTAAGGGCACTGCACATGGACGAGTAGTTTCAAAAGCTGCATTTAGAGTTAATTTGTAATACAGTGGGTTGCTCAAGGGACTACTGCTGCAAGTTATCCAGGGTCCTGCAGTTCTCTGAAAGGACCTTCATCTCCTCGAAGGTCCGTAAAGTGCACTAGTCCGGATGGCAGTGATGGACACTGTTCAGGAAAGGTACCATCAGGACATACCTCAACTGATGACTGAACACAGCACACATGGCAAAGAGAGGAAGCTGACATGAGGACTTGTAAGCATCTGGAGCGTTTGTTTGTTTGTTTGTTTGTTTGTTTGTTTGTTTGTTTTGTCTGGGCTTTTTAGTTCCTCCTTTTGCTCAATGTAGACATTGTAAAACTGGAATGTTTTACTCAGTTGCATGCTGGCCAGCTGTCATTTTTAATACCCATTGCAAAGGTGTGTGAAGAGAGGTGTGTTGTTTTGGTATACTTTTGTTTTCAATAACACATGTACATTGTAGTATACTTTATGATTTCTTGTCCAATAAATAGAACTGCTATCTCTGTGTTTCATGTCTAATTTTGGAGAGTAGAGCCATACCTGTATCAAGGCTCTCTCAATTAGGTGGGCATTTTATTCATTTAGTAGAAATAATGCATGATTCCTTTTGCAGTGATGGTTTGAGGGACAAAAAGTTTCTTAATTTTATAATATGTATTACAATCTTCTAAACACAAGTAAAAATGTACCGTGATTTATTTATATATAAATCTAGTCTGAACAAATAAGTTTTGATCTAAATAAAAACTCTGTAAGAAATGGTGCAATTGTAATTTATTACTATTTTGTATTTAAACTATTAAAGTTCAAGTCATTAGTTAGAAAGCCAGAAAACACTTTGGAAATGTTTTAACTCATTTTTTCTCCATAGATGTTGTGTTTTGATAAAATAAATGAGACCAGAGAGACAAAGCTGTTAACATGACAGTCACTTCACGGCACTTACACATAACTGGGGGGGCTGGGTACTGAAATCTCCTCTTGTTTCATCCCAAAGCCACAATCATCATTACAGAATGATTTTTAAAGATACCAAACATGAATCTCATATATACTTAAGAAAATCAAGATGCTGCAGAAGTGTTTCTACCAAGTGACAGTGTGTTAAATTACCAAAATTAGTATTTAGCATGGCAGGCTAACAAAATTAGCAATCCTCCTGTCAACACCTGACATGTAGCTCAGGGAAATTCCCAGTGGTCCCCTGGCAGAGCCCAGAAACAAATAGAAAAGAGAGCACAGATGTATCTGGTCTAACCACACAAACCGCACCCAGAAATGACATTCTTGTCCTGTTTTCTTGTCTTTTTTTCACACCAACTGAAATTACATATCTGTCAGCAAGGGTTCCAAATGTGTGTGACAACTGATTGTCTCTTTGGGGATATACTCAGTCTCTTGTCATTTGGAAGATACAGGCTAGCACATTAATAAAGAGCAGCTGACATACAAAATGGGGCACAAAATAATTTTATGCAGCTATATTGCATATAGTTCTGTTCATTTCTTGGAACTATTTGATATTGCAGACACATGGAACAGAAACAAGAACAGGCCAGTAGTTCTGAAGTTGATGTTATCGTTAATAGTGGTAGCACCTTCAGGCCTATGTAGATTCCTATTTTTCTGTATTACATACTGATACCTGTACATGGTGCTCCAGACAGCTGGCATGCTAGATAACAAGAGAGGTGGAAGATTAACGAAGGATACATGTATAACCATTTCATCTCTGGCAAGGAATGTAGTGCTAATTATCCCGCCCTGTCCCATAAGCTACTATAAGAGTAGCTATAACACTACTACAGCAGAGATGTATGAACTTCAAAACTGTTTTTAATGTATTTCAAAAATAGTTTTGCATGTTTCTATTTGTTTTTTAAAAAGCAAGTAATAGCCTTTCCTCTGTCAAAAGAGGTCCATATATGTCTCTTTTCGTTACATTTTTCCTGTGTAATTATCCTATATGTCTTTATACACAGCCTACAGACTTGAAACAAAACTCCAGTAAAACTGGGACAGCTGAACAACAGTAAAACTGGGACAGCTGAACAACTGATTGCAACATCCTGATAATGAGCTGAAAGTGAAATGCCAAAGGTTGAGAATGCTCACTGAAAAAGCCTAATCAGTATCAAATAATGTATCTATCTCACATAATATTAAACCTGAGAAGCCTAGTGATCCTGCACAGCCAATATCCAGTGACATGAAAATTGAGGGAGACACCTTGTTAATAATAATCTTTACTAGCAACTGACTGTGACTTTCCACAGGGGAATGCCTGGTGAGGGTATGCAACAAAGTCTAAAAAGTTCCTGAAGTGACAGCTGTGCGAGTGCACAGTGGTGTCCCTGAAGAGCTGAAGACAAAGTAAGAAATCAGTAACTCAGAAAGCGGAGATGCGGAACAGGCTGAACCTCCACATCTAAAGACATGATCAGGTTGGCAAACTTTGTGAGTCCAAAAATAACCTTTCCAGGGAAGGAAATCATAGTGTTTTGTACCACAAACTAATTGCATTAACGTCTGACAATATTGTCACTAAAATTTGTCGTGGTGCATCCTGACAGAGTGTTTTCTATGTAAGCAACATGAAAGATTTTATAAGCCTTGTATAAAGTCTTAGCAAAATAAAAAACCACCTCGCTTTCTTGAAACGGTAGATTGGTCACGGTTGAATTCTTCCCCTGTATGGGTTGTGCAAATAAGAAGTTCCAACACTCATAACTGAGACCCAAAATTGCCCCTTAGTAGTGACAAGAACAAAGTATTTCAAGTCACCATTTTTATCAGTATTCTAATATTGCCGTTTAAACACTACCAAATAATTTAGTGGCTATATCATTTCCAAATTAATTAACCACACCATCCAAAAGGTCATGGCCTGAAACCTCTTAATATTTTGCAAATAACTGTTAGTGAATTTATATTCCAATACAAGCTCAAGTAGGAAAAGCTGCAAATTTCCATAACGTAAGATGAGCCTCTACAGTCTGGTTCAAAGACACTAAAGAGAACAGCTTTAATACTAAAGAATCATTTTTAAGTGTGAGAAATGTTAATAAGCCTTACTCAGAAAAATAAAAAAAGAAAATGGTACATTTTTGGTAAGTTAGTAGAATAAGTTTAGGCCATCATGAATGGTAAAAGACTTCCTTAAGTGGTACTATGCCTCAAAGGTAGCAGAAACCTACTGTACACCTGGGAGGGCGATTATACCCAGCTCAGTACCACACAGTGCTAGCAACAGAAACTGGGAACAAACATTTTACTACTTCAGATGGTTTTCTTGCTATTGGTAGCAGGAGCTAAGGTTTTCTGTCATATTTTCCCAAATTAATGCATTTCTTTCCTTTTTATCCAGTTGTTTGTAAATGTTTTAAGACCTCTTCCCTTTCTGTACTACTTGAACTACTTGAAAAGTTAAAGAAGTGGATTGAAACAGGAGGAGCTCTCAGTATGACACTGGAGCTGAATCTCCTCTCGGTAAGAAAGAGCAGGAAGTTGTTTCCTCCTACTCTTGGTTTAGATCCACATTAAATCAAAATTAATTGTTCCAAACTGTCAAACAAGCTCGCTCAAAACAAAAGAAATTCCTTTCATCAGGAGCATCTTTAGGTGTGGCTCTGCTGAGCCACTTTTTTGTTTCCTCCAATCTGAGACTCGGGGTGGCATTCTCTCCCTCTCCCTTTTCTGCTATCACCTTGCTAAGGCAGACTAGCACATTTCAGCTAAACCTTCAAAAGTTCTGGAGCTTTTCAAACAAGATCTAAGATGCTTTGCCTTTGAAATTCTCTTGCAAGTAGAACTAACATCTAAGTTGCATCTATGCATCTGCCTAACAGGTTTTCATTTTAATTGTCCACTGGTTTTACTGTGGGTTTTTTCCACTTCTGATAGCTGCCTTCTTTTCCCTCATCACCTTTCCCTCAGT